AAGTAAAATAAGAATCTAGTCAGCAGTAGGGTCTCATGGCTTAGTTGGTAGAGCACCGGCCAGGAAACTCGGTGGTCGCTAGTTCGAATCCTGCGGTGGCTCAAATCTTCATTTCACCTCCAATCATCACTCAGTATCAATACAAGTCCACGAAACCAGGGCTATCTCAGATAGTCAAAGTCGTATAAGGATTCATTAAAAGTTTTAAATTGGTAGGTTGTAAAGTTCCTGATATCGGCGCTGAATAGTTAGGGTTAAGTCTCCAGGAGAACATATGTTTCCTAAAGGTTTCCGACGTACTTTGAGTATGTGTACCAAAAAGCTTCTAACTTCAGTCCAGGGTTTCCTGTCGATTGATTGACTTAAAATGATCGACGTCAGTAATATTAGATTTTCAGTCGTTTTAGTTGTACGAAATTGTGACGAAACCACCTTGGAATTTTAAATACACTCAATAAAGTATTATTCTCAATACTCATACTATTCTGAAGATTTCATTTCTATCGTGCTATCACTAGTAACTTGCTCATACTATATATTGATGAATTGTCTCCTGCTATCCGTCGTGATTACAAACTTCGTGACACCAATGCATCTCGTTACTGTAATTTTGTAATTATATTTCTGTCTACTAATTAGTAGTGTAATATGTGTCATTAAAATAAATGATTTCACTTTGTGAACGGTAAGCAGGTTGATTGGTTGTGAATCTTTTTGATCAAAGTTACTCAATGACGTACTTTTCTCTATCTTTTCATTATTGGTTTCCAATATGATGTATCAAATATTTGATTAACCCTGTGATGTTTAACAGCGTGTGGGATTAAGCTTTCTAATTTTCCTTGTCAACATACAGAATGGTGATTAGCATTACTGATTGCTAGGATGTAATGGACCATGTGGCAGATTAATTGTTAAATGTGCAAAGCTTCTGCAAACACTACTTATCAGGAGATGGGTTTATGGCACATTGGCTTAGATAGCCAAGTACCAACGGATGGTGAACTGGGTCACGGTGTAAAACTCGCGGTTCCTATAACTTGAAAGACAGAAATGCGGTTTTACTCTGTCTTTGTAACACTCAGTTTTAGTCTGGTTCATTGGACAGTATCGTCACTTCACATAAATTATTTAGTGTAACCCTTAGCTTAGTAAACAAATTTTCACGGGCTGTTGAGTTGTGTTAACTTTTTTTATTGACTGGTGAAGGAATGACTATACATTTTTATGTTACTAATTTGGTTCCTATTGGATTTCAGTGCATATAGATCGACTTCCTAATGGCTTTATTAAAGTACTAGTTAAGTTCATCTGTTTAAATCTACTTGATTCACTTACGATAATTCACCCTCAAATGTCAAAGTGGTCAGTTAGTTAGCAATACAAGTGAAAGTCGCTGTTGTCATTTAAACAATTTCATTGTAACTATGTGGGTGCTGGTTGTAAAAGTGGATATACACTACTATCTGTTGTCGGATGTGATTATAGGGAGGTGCATCATTCTGGAATATAGCACTTTTGGTGATTCTAATTCCTTATTCTGTTGCGTAAGTGTCGAACGAGGTCATCTCTAAAATTTTAATATTCTACCTTATCATTTGGATCACTGTTTTCATTTGTAAGAAAATGTACAGGGATTCTCAGTGCTGGTACTTCTGAAAGAAAGTCTTCATGACCACTGTCAAACAGAAGCCTATGGAGTTTTGTCGTTGAACAGTATTAATCCTTTTTACCTTTCATATTCATTCCACAGTGTCAGCATTTAGGAAATAATTATTGCTGCCAAACTTTCAAAAGTGCACAAATCCTACTTAGTCACAAGCAACGTTTTTCATTTTCAATATAGCCAGTATTATTCCAGCATCTTATGTTGCAATCGTATGTAGAAATCAGTACCTATGAAGCAGTATTCGGGATCCTTTAAAACCAGCTTGCTGAATGAACTTTGGAACAATCAGTGACTATATCTTGAATCAATAAAAACTTTCCAAATCATTTACCTGCGTCTGTTGAGTTGTAGGTCGTTGGTTTAGGGAGGTAACTTTCTATCAATGGGTCATGAGTTCGAGCCCTGCTCCACCTATCGAGGTTTGGGGAGCTTGCTAGTATCACTAGCTATCATACAATAAGTGTGGGTGATTGTCTACTGCACGAATACGCATAGGGTTGATGAGTACCTTTCAGTTCAGTTTTCATGTGCATCTGTTAATTTGCTTCAGATCTTTGACAATGTATATGTTTTCACGAATCGAATCATATATAGCCACATAATGTTGAATTTTATCTTCAACTCCCCATATTCCATCACTTTAAAAAAGGAAAATTTTATCAGTTTAGTGAACTAAGACATTAGTTTTTCTATTTATTGTTTTTCAGTCTACTCGGGATACAATGTGGATCGAAATTTCGACCGGACTGGAAAACTATTATTCGTGATTACACCAGGTTCAGGTGTTTACCATGTCAATGAAAATCTTCTAATGTTAACAAAAAGAGAGTTCTTGATTTAGGTAAGTGAAAACTAATTGGTCAGACTATCTATGATGGTCTCGGTCGGTCGACTGACTGACCTTTGTGTATGCAAATAAACAGCTCGATCCAGTATAGCAACGGTAAATTACAAATATCAAGCAACAACTGATACCCATTGCACAGGGAGTGGTTATCACTCCCTAATGGTCTACTGGATAGTGAGTGCTTAGGCGCTTGAGGTGATTAGTACTTGTCTCAAGCCTCAGTGAGAACAATACCACTCACTTGGGCACGATTACGTCCAACTGACAAGTCCCAGGCTGGGCGAAACACGGATTCTGAATTCCACCTCTAGCCACCAAGTTGACTACAATATGATGAATATCTGGGCAGTATTGAGGCACCCACATTAGAGCTTATCTACCAACAGAAGTTGAGGAATCCGACGCAGTATAGCAACGGGAAATTATAAGTATCAAATAATACACGACTGATCATTGAAAAGTAGGGGGAAACGTGGTTAAGGATTTCGGAAACGGTCGGTTCAAATCCTCCTGCTAATTATGTTTCCTGTAAACTTCAGTTCATGCTCTCTGACACTAATTAAAGAGTTAATTACTCAGCTCATGTAGTCAGTTAGCTGATAATCACCTTTCAGTAGTAGTATGAAAGAAGTAGGTTAAATTATGGGGAGGAGATGACAATCTTAGAGCACATATAGTTAATCTTCCAAAGGTTTAGACAAATAATAGTCAGGAGAAACCATTTACAGTGGTCCTCAGGTGTAGTAGCTGTACCTAGCTAACACTACATCCTGACAGATTATTAATAGCGTATACCATCGTGTGCACCTGAGATAGCCAATAAGCCCTCATAACTGGTTTTGGTACGTGAGTTTTGTTTCACATGTATAACACCTTTTTTCACGTAAACTCTTCTTGAATAAGACTTGACACTTACCTCAACCTATTCCTTACTTTGCATTTACACTGTGCGGATGTTCTTTGAAGGCTGTGGTAGAATTATATTTACACAGTTTTCATTTTTCTGTAGCAGTCTATCGCCTCTAAAGACCAATGTTTTAGATAAACATATTCGTGTAGAGAATCCTGAGCCGTGTTTGGAGATGTAGACTACCTTGCTGGGGTTCCCGAGATGATAGGAATCAGTGGTTTGTAAGTTCTAATGACATGACTGAAAATCGGTCGCGGTGACGTCTTCTAAAGCTTGAATATTCGCACTAACCTGTATCTTTAAGTTTGTTGATTGTCTCACGCAACTGTCTACCTTGATGTCACTATTCTCCTATCCACTTATTCTTTGTATACTACTGTGCAGCATTGCACCTTGAGGCGTGATGTACTTTCATATGGGGCTCTATGTTGATTCTATCTGTCTATAGCGTAGAATCCGTTTAGCACACACTGGTTGAATGTACAAATTAATTCTTTCAAAATAGGCAGGCAGGAATTACGCTTTTATGAATCCCTATTTTTCTTTAGCATTATTGTTGTTTAATAGCATAATTCACTTCCTACTTACATGGCTATCTTGTAAATGAATTCAATAGAATAAATATTCACATTGTTTTGCATGAAATTCTATTTTTCAGTAATTCGTTTTTATGTTTAGGTGTTGGAGTTGACTTAATCTGTCTGGCAGAACAACCTCTTCATGCAGTTCCATTATTTAAGGTGGGTGTATAATACTTTCTACACTTTTAGAATGATGAGAGTGTACTAGTATAGAATATGAATACGTGAATTTTTGTTGACGTCATGCAAAGCTCAGAATTACTATTTTGCATATTGAAAGTGATAAATACATTTCTATTAACAGGTATCAAGTTGTTGGTTTAAGAGTTGCTCCATCTGTTTGAATCAAAACAGTTAGGTAATATTTTATTCCTCAATTCTGAGTTCTATTTCAAACTCTGGTACATTGACTTGTACATGTCTCTTCGGTTGTATTTCTCTTTTATTAATTCTCATCAAAATGTTTTCCAGTCACCTTTCATTTCATTAATTCCAACACAAATTTCACTTTGGGGGTTTGTGGGAATTGGTTGATTTAGAGGCGGTGGTATCCATCATGAACTTACATCAATTGAGGAGGAGTCCCATACTAGAATGAAACAGTTGTCCAGTGCTCCGAAGTTTTCGTCTTGAAATTCAATCCAGACTTTTCAAATTTCTCCAGGTTGTGTAACTAGTTTTCATAGCATGACTAACTTGTAGGACAGAAAACACTGGTGCTTCGATAAAAATCTCATCAGAATGAAACGACTGTTCATTGTGCCTTGGTTTTTGTGTTTTCGGGAACATTTTCTTTCACGACGCTTTACTTTTCCCTGCCTACATCGAGTAGAATATTGGTATCATAAACTGTATACCTGCTTAATCGTATTGGTTATGACGTACATTTTACTTGGCTGAAATATCCCTTTACAGTTTATAGTTCTTCATCTAGATATTGTCCGAATCTTTCATTAACCCAGAAGAATATATCGCACCTCATTGGATTAACTGCAGGTATGTTTGTGCTATTCATCAGGATATGATTCTAAAAATATTTTCTATACAATAGCTATTTCAAATCAGCACAAGAATTGAGGTATATTGAATTGGGCAGGCCATTTCCACGAGTTAAAGTGAGTTGCTTTTTCGTTCAGTTAATAAATGTCTACCTATACTAGTATCTTTAGCTTTGTAAAATAAATTTGGTGTTATGAATATGTCGAAGTCTCTGCCCTAAAGTGAAGTGGTGTGATGAGGAATGATTCGACAGACTGGTCTGTTTATCAAAGGATCATTATTATGGTTGAAACAACAATTATTATTATTTGTCCCTTGAGTTCCTAATGGAACATAGGGCTTCAGTAGCACGTCTCCATTCCACTCTCTCCTCTGAAATCTTTTGAACCCGGTTCCACGACAGCCCCGAAGCTCTCATTTCTTCCTCACAAGATCTCCATGTCACCCTCGACTCGGACGCCAAACTCGTCGCTTCCCATCTGGGTTCAACTCGAGTGCCTGGCCTGGCTCGTGATGTCCCCATTTGGCCTTCTCAGTGTATGTCCAATCCATCTCCACTTCTTTCCAGTGCATATTTGTTGAGCGATAGCTTCTTGGTTGGTTCGTTGCCAGCCACAATGAGTTCATTGCTGCTTATTCTTTCTGGCCATCTGATCTTCAATAGCGAGCGTAAGCAGTTGTTGATGAATGTCTGTAGTTTGTTGGAAATCCCTTTCATAACGCGCCAAGTCTGTGAGCCATACAGAAGCACTGACTTGACGTTGCTGTTGAAAATCCGGAAGTTGTTCACGCTTTATGCTGAGTGCAGAAGATCTCCACACTGGTTTCAGGCTAATGAACGCCTGTCTTGCTTTTCCGATCATGGCTTTGACGTCCTCGTCTGTGCCGTCTGTAGCTGAAACAGTGCTGCCTACATAGGTGAAGGAGACTACCTCCTTTGTTTCTCCCGTTGATGGTAATCGGAGCTTGTTGTTGCTGTTGTTATTGGTCGGGTATCTTCATCACCTCTGTCTTCTATGCTTTCGCTTGAAGTCCCATCTTCCTTCGCTGCTTCTTCCGTAAACTTGTTAGTTTTCTCCTGTAGATCTTCAAGTTTGTGTGACATTACACACAATTCATCGGCGAAATCCAAATCCTCTAGATTCTTTTCCCCTGTCCAGCCAGCGTATACCTCTCTTCTTGCCCCTCACTATTTGCTACATGATCCAGTCTAGTCGACCACAATCAGGGATATCATGGGTGATGGAAGACAACCTTGTTTTACTCCTTCCTGTCTTCACTTCACTTCGAAGGCATCACTGAGCTTCCCGTTAAGAATTACGTGGCATGTGGCCTCTTCATATAGTTGTTGAATGAGATTGATAAATGTTTGTGGTATTCCGTAGTTTTGAAGTAGTTGCCTGTCAAATTACCTCTCGGTCGATGGTGTCAAAGGCCGGCCTTTTCAAGGTCGATGAAGTTGAGGTAGAGTTGAGTTGACTGCCATTCTATACTCTGTTCTATGATGATGCGTAGTGTAGCGTTGCAATTTGGTCCGCACATGATCTGTACTTACTGAATCCAGCCAGCCAGCCCGTTCCGGTCGTAGTTTTGAATTCAGTGCATCCTCTAGTCTCTCCAAGATGATGCGGCCTAATATTTTGCTTATTTTTGGTGGACAGGAGTGGAGCATGATTCCTCGTCAGTTCCTGCAAACACTGAGGTCTCCCTTCTTCGGGAGTTTGACCAGGTAACCCTTCTCCCAATCAATGGGCAGGTACCTTCCCTTCCTTCCTTCTTTCCAGACCTACTGCAATAGTGGTGTGAGCATATGCGCTGTTGTCTCTGAGTCCGCTGTCAGTGCTTCTGGGTGAACTCCATCTGGTCCTGCTGCTTTCCCACATTTCAGTATCTTTATGGCGTTCAGAACTTCCACTTTTGTTAAAGGATTTGTGTTCACTTGTGGTTCTGTGGCTGGGCTGTAGGTGGTATATCTGGAGGTATTGCGCGTGGTGGTCGATTCAAGAGCTTTTCGAAGTGGTCAGCCCATCGTTTCCTTTGTTTCCCTTCTTTGGTTATCATATTTCCTCCATCATCTTTTATTGGTTTCATCTGTGTTGATCTCTTCCCTCCCAGATAGTAACCTGGTTATTCGATACAATGTTGTCAGGTCTATGTCCTTCCTACCTGCATGCAGCCAGTTCTGCTTCACTTGCCAGTGTTTCGTAGAAGTGTCTTTTGTCTTTGCACCCACTCTTCATCACTTCTTTGTCCAGTGTAGTGTTTTATACATTGCACTCAGTTCCTCTTGTCGTCGTTCATGCTTGCACTAGTTTATCTTCTGTCTCACCATCACCATCATCCTCTCCCTGCTCTGTCAGCTTCCATGTGTCTGTGGAGATCCATTCCTTGTCTTGCTTCTTCTTCTTCTTCTTCCTTCCTTCCTTCCTAATATGGTTATGCATGTTTCTTTCCACATCTCTTTCAAAGACTTCCAGTGTTCATCCACACAAGTTTCTTCAGGGATGTTCCTCGATGTCTCCATTTTGTCTTGATGGTTGGCTGCCGTGAAGATTTCCTTTGTAGTTTCGTCCTTCAGTTCACTTTCTGTTCTGGGTGTTGAACTTGAACTGTGGTCTATCACCAAATTCTTTGAATTGAAGGATTTCAACTTGATTTATAAGGTTCCTTACGTTAGATAGTGGTGTGAACTTACATCTGCTCCTCTTCTTGACCTTGTGTCAAGTAGGCTGACTGCGTCTCCATTTTCTTGAGATTGAGGTGATGTCGATCTGATTTTCAATGTAGTGTGTCCTGGTGTCTGGTGAAATCGAATCCATGTTGCTGGCTTTGTGGATATCCTTGTGCTTGAACACACTGCCTTGCCTCCAATCATCAAATCGTTGAATGCACAGAATTCTGCAAACAGCTGTCCATTCTCGTTCATCACCTCACCGAGCGCTTCTCGACCCATGGTTATTTCTCTTCCTGTTTTGGTCGCTCCCAGTTTGGCATTCATGTCACCCCACCCATTCGAATTTTGATGTCGACAACTGAGGTCTTGTCCAGTGTTGATTGCAGTTGTCTGTAGAATTCCTCCTTCTTCTCTCGTTCTCCGTCTGCATTATTTGTAGGTGCATGGTGTAGCATTGTATGATTGTGACCTTCCTTCCTTCCTTTGAGTTGAGCCATGCTGTCATGATCCATCAGGAGGAGATTGGTTCCCACTACATGAGAGCGAGCCTTCGATGGTGTTGGGGATGTCATGATAGCCACTCGAGAACTCAGTGTGCTTGTGGTTGTTGTCTGGGTGACAATATCGGAGTACATTTTTGACTTTCCAGTCGACAGTTTGGAGAGTCCACTCCCATTCCATCTGCTTTCGCAAATTCCTAGCACTTCAATGTGATACCTCTCCATCTCGTTTGCAATCCGGGCTGCCTTGCTGGGTTCAAACATGGTGCGGACATTCCATGTCCCCACGTTTACTTTCGCTTTCATTGAGGGAGAGAAGACACATCGGTCGACTGATTTTTCTGAAGGTTTTCACCAACTGGCGTCCTTTCGCCTCTCCGATTCCAGCTAAAAATAATATTGTTTTTATTTTTTATATTTCGTTTGTGTTTCGAAGTCTTTTTGGCGGTTAGATTTGTTTTCCGGGGTAGGGTTGCTAGCCGTATGCTGAACCTTCCCTCTTTACCCGGGCTTAGGACCGGATAGTAACCAGGGAACTAGTTAACCAGGCGAGGTTATATATAAGATTTGTTTATTTGATTTTTAACGCACAGTGATATAGTATTATTTACTTGATGACGTTTCTAGCATAAATTATGATTGCTCATAACCATATCAGTGTAATCACACTACCTTCGATATTTGGTTTTTGTAGTTACGTCACCTTATATGATTTTTTTTCATTGGTAATGTAAGAGTAAAACTTGTGCAGTGTGGTAGAATGTGATTCCATCTTTATTGATTTATTAGATTTATCACACAGTGTAACAGTATTGTTTGCTGAATTGCGTTTCGGACATAATTAATTGTGCGTAGTCGTCATATCAAGATAACTACACAACTTTGAGATGTCTTTTATGTAGTCCTAGTTTCCTCATCTCTTTGTGAAATGGGTAGTAAGATTTTCCATACATCCGGAACAGATGCTGAGTCATTCCTGTTGCATGTATTAGGTGTTGATTCGATAAACAAAGATTCACTTATCAATCTCACCCTGCACCCTGTTATGTTAGTTTTAAGAATTTTCACCCCATCCTATTCTATTGTGTGGTTGTGTGTAGTCGCATGCATAGCTATGGTTGAGCTTTTTTCTAAATTGCTTACCTTACTAGGATCTACCAATTTTGACCTAGCTAGGTTTTTGTGTTCGGATAGCCTAATTGACCCTGGTCGACCACTTTGACCTATGTATTTGACCTCTCAATTGTTGCAAGGGATTTGGTAAACTAAGTTATTCTGCTTAATTGGGTCAATAGGATCTTTTAACCCACAAAGCTTATTTCGAAGTGAGTTTGTTGTTTTAAAGGCCACTCTAGTCCCAGCCCTACTGAGAATTTTACGTAATGTTTCTGAGGTGCCTTCTTTGTAGGTTTTGAATTCTCTATTCACAGTATTGCCGCTACTATTATTAACATCATTATCAACACTATTATTTCTATTATTATTGTTGTTGTTGTTACTACTATTAATAACTGTGTTACTGATATTTTTCTTACGATTCCTAAGGAGCTTATCAATTAATTTGGGAGGGTAATTGTTGATGCTTAAGGCGTCTTTAATCTATCTGGTTTCTTCTTTTAGATCTTCTGTTTTACTAGTAAGTTTTTTGGCCCTGTTACATAGAAACTTTACTAAACCAACTTTAACTGACATAGGGTGAGACGATTCGAAGTCTAAGTAACGATTTGAATGTGAAGGTTTTCTGTAGACACTAGTATCTAAACTCCTATCTTGTTTCCGTTTTATTCTGCAATCCAACATCGCTAATTCTCCTTCCCTATTTTCTAATTCATAGGTGAATTGGATTGCGTTGATTTCTGAATTTATGTGTGTAAAGAAATTATGTATGTGTTCCGATTTCAACATCGTAAACGTGTCGTCTACATAGCGAAACCATATTTTTCGAGCCGGACTAAATTTTTCTACAGCCATCCGTTCCCAACGGTCTATAAACATGTCAGCCACAATAGGGGATATTGGTGAACTCATGGCTACTCCTGAAACCTAAATATTATGGAAGTTAGGCATATCTGTACTCCTAGCATGATATCATCTACTTATACCTGTGTTCGTAGTCTAAGCTCGTGGTCATTATTGAGCTTCTTTCTAACTGCTTCCAGGGCCATACTAATCGGTATTTTGGTATACAAACTAACTACATCAAAACTAACCATTTTTTCCTTGTAATTTAAATGTATGTCATCTATTCTGTGCTTCAAGTCATAAGAGTTAATAAGTCTTCATTTAGAACGGTTTTTAATTGGGTTTAGTTAGTACCATCACCAAATACTGAGATAAGTCATAAGTAGGAGTGTTTCTAAAGTTTACTATACGTCTTATAGGATAACCTGGTTTATGAATTTTAATAGTACCATAAATCCTACTAGGAATTATAGTTTTCGGCATTAAATTAAACCGTTTAGACTCACTTAAAAACGGCTTCATTAGGCGTATTAGATCCACCGTGGTTCTTTTAATTTTATTCATGGTAGTAAAATCTCCCATATCTGTGGTATATGTGTTGCATCATTTCTATTACATGTGTTGCAGGGTGTTGATTCGATGATGATGAGATCATATTAGGCATACAGATGTGCCCGACCTCCACAGTCTTCAAGTTCCAGGATAAAATATGCAGACAGACAGAAAAAGTAGCAATGGGATCGCCAATATCCCCAATCGTAGCAAATGTATTTATGGATAGTTGGGAAAACATGACTTTACAGACGTTTAGTCCTACACCAAAAATATGGTGGCGATATGTGGATGACACATTCACTGTGTTGAAATCGGAACATACCGACAATTTCCTCACACATATAAACTCACTAGTAGGCGCAATCCAATTCATGTATGAGGTAGAAAATGAACAAGGAGAATCTAGACTTCAAATCATCCAATCCATTGTCAGTTAAGGCAGGATTAATCAAATGTCTAAATGATAGAGCTAGAAAACTGATTAGTCAGAGCAAGAACCTAAACAAAGAATTGAAACACGTAACAGAAACACTAAAGGTTAATAGTTATCCTCCGCATTTTATTAGGAAATTCTTACAGACACAAAGGACGGAAAAATAACAGTCACACGAGTGTGACTAATAACGACAACCCGAGTAAAATGGAGTTCACAGCCTTCATTGTATTATCCTATAAGGAGGGTACCTCAGAGAATTTACGTTAAATCCTCAACAGAGCTGGAATTAGGGTGGCATTTAAACCTACAAACTCACTCACAGATAAACTTTGCCGGTTTAAGGATCCGATAGAACCAATTAAGCAAAATAATCTAATCTGTCAAATTCCATGTAATGACTGTGAGGTCAAGTTCATAGGTCAAACTAGCCGGTCGGAGTCAGTTAGAATAGTTGAACATCGGAATTTAGCTAAATGTAGTATGACAGACCCGAATAAGATCAATATTCTGGAAAAAAACTCGGCTGTTGCATCGCATGCATTAAGACAAAGCCACACAATAAGGTGGGACAAAGCCACTGTACTTAGGTCCAGTATAAATAGGTGGAGAGTGGGATTGATTGGTGAATCTTTGTCCATCGAATCAACATCACACAACACATTTGATAGAAATGACGCAACACCCATACCACATATGGAAGATTTCACTACCAATAAAAACAACTCATATAAAGTGACATAACTATAAAAATCAAATGTCGAAAGTAGTGTGATTACATTGATATGATTATGAGAAATAGTTTGTGCTCGAAGCGTCATCAAGTAGATAATGCTAGGTCACTGTGTGTTATAAATCAAACAAACAAAGTAAATCACTGTAGGATTCAAACCAGTCGCCAGCATCCAGGATTTCGTCTCAACCACCCTCATCACTCTAATATGATATAATAAAGCAAGAACTTTTGGATACTTACTTACTTGTTAAGGTGGTTTCACGCTTTTACTTAGAAATATGATTTCATTCAGATTTTTTACTCAGCTTTTTCTGCGTGGGGAATTCTTTGATGTTAAGGTCGCTTTCAAAATGCACAGTGTTATATTCTTGTAGTAGCTACTGGACATAACCTCAGTTATATATATATATATATATATATATATATATATATATATATATATATATATATATGCTGCGTATATATGTATTGTTATATGGGCTCCTGCGCGGATACCTCGATATTGCGTTTGAAACGATCCGTTCCATTGGGAACAACACCACTCACTGGGAGGCAGGTACATCTATCTGACGAGTCCCAAGTAAGACGAGATGCACGTCCTGGGTTCCACTGCCAGCCGCTATCCATCATTAGTAACCAGTTAAAACACAGGTAATGTCGAGGTATCGTGGCAGGAGCCCATATGTCAATAGAGACCGATCAGTTCAGTCCAACCATTGATGAGATAATGCAAACAACACCATTAATGCGGAAGTGGTTACGCGAAACTGTTCGTCATTGTCTGGAGGCAATGGCACTGTTAAAGGGTGGTAAAAACACACATCCTTATCTGTGTTTATCACCATTCAGGTTTTTAATTAACTCATTTCAGTCTCATTATTTGACATATTTTGACATGGTGATAAATAGATTATAAGGAGTGATCGCGTGTAACAGACATCATGTTTTTAGAGATTTTAGTATTCCTTTTAACTGTTTAATTCCTGACTGAGCAGTCGTATTTAGTCTTATATTCGAATTAAATCACATGAGAATGAGACGAAACATCTGTTTAGCATCAACGCAGGGATTTTGTTGATGATGTCAATTTTCTTCACAATAGGTTTTAAGTTTTCTGGTCTTTTTGTTTTTACCAATGACCCAGTTTTAAGGTACATTTTCCTTTTGTCTAGTTACTTTTCATTGTCTGTTATTGTGTACTCTTTGTTTTGAATAGGTTGTTTCTTTTAAACATTCGGATGATTTTCTATTATCGAAGAATTCTAACGATAAACCGGTTGATAGTCAATTTGAAGATAAAAATAGGTAATTGAATTTCAAACAACATATGTTTAATACTGAATATTTAGTGTATATGGGAATTAGGACACTGTTTGAGGATAAAGCGTTTATACCTAGGGTATTCACATGCATTGGAGTTTACTCAAATTGAACTATGGACGTTTGTTGATGCGCTTGTACAGTTTATCCTCATTTATTCAGACTGACATTTCTGCAAACGAATATACGGTCGAATGAACTCGATGTGACTTATAACAATTAGTCTAAATGATTCGATAATTCCACCCAATGATATATCAGCTATAAGACTATTGGAAACCTGAGGGTATTGTACAGCTGTTTCCGTATAGTTTTGAACTGTTCAACAGTGCATACCGATGACCCTGGAAGGAGTCAAACTCAGTACGTTAACTCTCTCTTCTAGTACGTCGAATTTCAGCCAGTGATTAGCGTTTTCAAACTCCTATCAGTTCATAATATAAAGTGACTGTTATTCTACATAGTCAACGAGTGACAACTGTCTTCATATCCAATTTATTTGGCTTTACAGTTGACGATCGCCCATAAGGACTTCACGAATTTCATATCAAAGTCACTTACTAATTAGTACTACATTTTAAACTAATTAATTTGGAGTTTAGTGCAGGAATCGATGAAGAGCAAGAAGGTGTTCAAATAATTCCTTTATCGAGACTGTTTAATAGAATTAGAAGCAGTTAAGAAATACTTCCAGGAAATAACTTCATTCTTTCGATGGTCGATCATAAAATGCTAAACTACAATCATCCTGAACGTCTAAATATAGAATAAACTAAATGTATAATGTATGTGTCTTGATTAGTGTGTTCAGAATCTGAACGTATAAGGGGGATGATGATGTAGTCATAAATATGAAAGTCAACCTTATACAGAGCTGGGTCTCATTGGTCTGGGGAGATGACTTTGAACCAGTGGATCACGGGTTCGAACCCCACTCCGCTTACCGACGTATGAGAAGCCGGATAGTATCAATAGCCCCCCCCCACACACACACACTAGGTGTGACTCATTTCCTGCTGCACAAATGTCTACAAGGTTGCTGAGTGCATTTCGATTTGATTTTGATTTTCAACCGTATACAATTTGTGAAGTAAAGAGTAAATGTAGAACTTGGTCACTGTCGTAAAATGTAACTCCATATTAGATTTGTTTATTCGATATAGTACATAATGATACAGCATTGTTATTGCATTCACGCAAAATAAGAGAAACATTCTTGTAACGTAAAGAAAAAATAGTCTGTGATGAATAATAATCTCTGAAAGCAGACGACTGAGATGATAATTGACATGCTGTTTGTTCAGTAAATTGGTTGTGCAGCTTGAAGCCTTTGTACAGTTATGTGAATGTTTCCATTTTCTCAGTTCAGTGTTGCACATATTGAAACATTGTAGTAAAACAACTAGAAGAATAGAACATGTTGATATGTAGGTTTATTTATCCAGTATCAATCACTTCACTAACAAGATTCAGAATCTACTGAATGCGGTGAGTGATAACTTAAGGATTGTTAGGATACGTCTCTCACCTTCCAAATGCAAACAGCTGGGTTAGGACTAGTGTGCATTGGTATCTCTTATGGGAATAGAGGGTATGGTAGTTGAGCTTTTTATCACTCTACTTTCCTTCTGTAAATTTGGATTTATTTAGATCAGTGACTGATGAAATCTAGATATGGATAGAAAAGGCTAGATTGGCTCATGTCAATATTTACCGTTTATGGTACCGGTAAGAGTGTCGATTGTGAACTGAAGGTGTAATGTATTCTCCATGTCTAGAAACACAGCCATTAGAAGTGGAAGGTATGAGAAGAAACTTCTAGGCGTTCGATAACCGTTGTTTTTCTAGCATTGGCTATGTGTCGTGAAACCAGCATTTAAGTAATATAGGAGTCAAGCATTAAGTCTTATGTAAGGGAAGCGTATGAGTTTGTGGGATTACAAACCTTCATCAACAGAGTTGGCTAGGACATATTTCACACATCATGAGTTACTATCTATTGTTTGAAGTAAGGCTAGATTGAGAAAAAGCTAAGGATGGCTATACTGAAATACGACATCATTTCATGAATTCTCAGATTGTTGGTCTATGCCCTGCTGGGGAATTTAGTTTTCCTAGTTGATATCCACTTACTAACCATAGTTAAGGTTTGTAGGATCTAGTTGTTATTGCTATGAATCGATCTCATTAGTACAGCTCCATCAACATTCAAATTTCATTCTAACCGTCACATCAAATTTCGTTATTTGCCTTTTTTATTACGTAACAACCAAAATGTAACGTAATGATCTATACGAATGCGTGCAAAACAATGAAATATGAAGCAGATTAATCATTTAAATTCTAATTTAAGCTGTTGTATTCAAGAAAAGAAAGAAAACTTCAGCATTATATCCAGTGGTAATGTGTACAAATGATAACTGACGTACCTGACATTTGGATAAAAAATTAATGGTCCTAATGAAAAGCAAGTGAATTAAGGTATTATAGGTAGTTAGTTGAAGTCATGAAAGGTGATCAAATCATAATGCCTCACTAATTAACCTTCACTGAACACGTGCCAGAATAAATTCGTTATGTGATGAGTATGCAATATAAACATAATTGGAAGTTTCCAACTTCTGTCGATTCACGACATAGCGTGACTGTCACCCAAGGTCTTCAGTTAGCATCCACGATTAATACTACTTCTAAATTAAAAATCCCCATTCATCTCAAAAAATGCATTACTGTATAGTGCTCATTAGTGACTTGCTTCCAGATGGATGTCAGGAAGTTCTAATGAGAAGCTGTGACCTGTGGTGTCAACCAGTCGGAAGTGAAGTGGATGCTAACTGAAGACCTTAAGTGAAAGTCGCGCTATGTCGTGAATTGATGGAAGTTGGAAATTGTGAACCACTGGAAACCGACCCAGTGGCTGGATGGTTAACGCGTTCACCGTGAAACCTGAGGGTCCTGAGTTCGATCCCTAGCCGGATCGTGGGTGACTACTGCTGAGGAGTCCCATACTAGGACGAAACAGCTGTCGAGTGCTACCAGGTTTCCAATGATTCGTCAACTGATATCAGTCCATGATGAATATTACTTCTAAATTAAAAATGCCCATTCATTTCAAAAATGCATAATTGGAAGTTGTCTCACCCACTATTAACTATTGTGCAGGTTATATCGATCTTGGTGACTAGCAGAATAATCCAGGACGCCTGTTTCGTCCTACTACAGAGGTTGAGCAATTCGGCCCTGTATAACAACTGGAAATTACAAGTATTATAACAATATTGTGCAGGTCATTGATTCAACATATTTAGTTTAAGCACAAAATATTAAGCATATACTCTGACCGTTATATCACATGCGACACATCAAAGGGAAAATTGTTCGAAGAATAGTATTGTGTTATATAAGCATCTTTTTTATCTTGAATATATCAAAATATGAATGAACAAAGATATAGTTGTTACTACTTTCAATGATGATTATCTTTTCAAAGTGTTCAAGAGAATCAAAATCCTGAGCCTAATTTATGCATTGACCTACTTTCATTTCAACGATTGATTGTACTTATCAACAAAAGCGAGAAAAGTCCTTTAGTTTCATCATTATCCAGATTGCTTGCCAATGCAGTACTGTAATGGCTATAATGTTTAGTCTTTCAGCTTAGAAATAATGGTTGGATTCACCACCGGCTGTTTTCTTAATTCAATTGGGAGGTTTCAAGGAATTGGTTGATTCCAAAGTGTGGGGCAAAGTATTCACCGATGGCATTGGATATTGTTCGGGTTATATCGTGGATTGACAAATATACTAGATGCTAAACTAGTGGAATCGAGACCAGTAGCTGAGTGATAATGTCCTCATCGCAATACTTAACAGTCCTCAGCACGATCCGTAGCGGATTTATAGGTATTCACTAGTGAGTTGCCCCATACTAAGACGAAACGGCTGTTCGGTGCTTACAGACTTTAATTTTCACCAACTGGTGCCAGTTCGTGGTGAATACTACCTAGGAATATTTTGTAGTTGACAAAATGAGTGGAGATAGAAGTGAGGAATTTTCTATCGATAGATATCCTTAGCAAAGTATATTATGCAAACTTATCAAATAAGATGTATAGTTCAAAAACAGTAGCAGCTTGAAGAATCAAAAGAGAATTTGTGTAAACTTACAGTCCAGCGCATCACATAGGTTCCATAGAAATGGAATAAACTATTTTTACAGAGTATTTAAAATCGATTTCACTATTAACCTGAAAATCAGTTAATTGATTGCTATCTTTGTTTGATATCACTATGATGCATAATCTTCTATAACACAAATGATTGACTGTTTAAGTAAGACATGATCATATGATTCACAAGTCAGGTGAACTGTTATGTCTTCCTGGATTGCCAAAGGATAGAAAGGAAAATATCTCCAAAGTACTCGTACAACTTATGAACTAGGGATATATATTCTAATCTTATGTTTCGATGTCCACAACACCATCCTCGTTACAGATTAAAAATTCTTTTTATTTCCTCTAAATTTTTTGCTTCTACTGATATCGATCCATTCAATAAAATTGGTTCTATAGAGTAATAATAATAATAATAATCGCTTTATTCCAGACAGTATGTGGGATACAGCGTGAACTTGTCAGCATGTCATATTTCAGCAAAGTCACTCCCAGAGCAATATTCTTAATGGAAATGATTATTGCATTGGAATGATACTAATAATAATAGTGTTTAAGGGCAATTATATGAAACATCCAACTAGTGTTAGATTAGTATCCGGTCTAGAATGAAGAATTGACAGAAACCGAGCGTAAGTTTAGTGGTAGTGATTCATTGAGCCAGTACACGCATCTTTAATTTAAACTAAGCGTCTGAAGTATAGAAATAGAGATGTATTTTTTTGTATGTGATGCTTTTAAAAAAAAATTTGCCAGAGTGTATGATACGTTCAAAGGACATATTTAAATGATTAAGACAAATTGAAAGAAAGAATTTAATGTATATATTCAGTCAAAAAGTTTGATAACCCCCAAGGTTTAAACAAACCGCTACATGTCAAAGTTGATTAACAAATATCGGTTGTACATATTTATTATTCCTGGTAATAATATCAGTGTTTTTCTGTTTCATTTCATGCAGACAATTGTTACCTGAACATAATGCGGATACTACTACTACTACTACTACTACTACTACTACTACTACTACTACTACTACTACTACTACTACTACTGCTAAGATAACCAAATCATCTCTCCCAATCTATCCTATTGCTTATCCATCCTATCGTACACTTTTCAATCCTATAAAATGTAAAAAAGTTGATGTACCAAATGAATTGCTCAGTGAAAGTTTAACAAAATCACAAGATTCAATAATAAATGACTGTTCATCAACTACACTGGATGAAAACCGTCTACACATGATATCCTCGATAACAGATCCATCGTCTTCAGTGGAGTCAACTGATCATATGCCTAATTGTTCTGTTAATTGTGCAACAGCATTGAATGCTATTAATACAGCAATAACTGTAGCTAAGGCTAGACGTGCATCAACATCTTTGTCATCACATAAAAACTTATCAATTAGTAGTGAGTCAGATAACGTTGTTACTGCTGTAGCTTCGAGTATTGGTAGTGATGGTGGTACAGTTGCCTCTCTTCCTAGTGTTCGTGGAGGCAGTGGCGTTGGTGGTGTTAGTCACATTCATACTAGTAGTTTAGATCGATGGCAGAATTTAAAGTGTGAAAAATTTCCTTCTTTATCATCTGCTAATTTAATGTATTCTGATTCGAAATCACATACACTAGCGTATTCACCTTCGATTGGTTACATGCAGAATTCTTTGTCACGTGTTACTTCAAATCATATCGTTGGTGGTAATAATGGTGGTAGTGGTGGAAGCTTTGCAACTGTTACATCACTTCCATCGGTTCGAGAACGTTGTATCGAAAATAGCCAGTCGTCTAGTGTAAGAATGAAGGGGAGTGGTGTTTTATCAATTCCAATGTTATCTAAGACCCCGAGAATAAGAACACAAAGTTTCAGTGGTGAACAACGAGCAAAATTATCACATTTTGATTCTGGTGTAAAAGATATCCTTACCTCTGTGAATAGTACTAATTATGTGTCAGATGCGAGAGATAATGTTAAAGCTGTTTACCAGCGAGAAAGTGCTCTTTCACGATGTCAAAGTAAGTTTTTTGTATTCCTCTCTTATATATACTCATCGATTTCGTGTAAGTCGGTCCGTAATAATTACAAGCTAACAAATATTTACATATTGCCTTTTTGGGTGTTGTTTCACACACAAACAAGTAAGAGATTATGCTTTTTGAATTTGAATTACTGACTGGAATTCAATATCTTTTGTCCGTTATGCTCAAATTAAGTGTTGAGATTCTCGGATAGGATTAATTGGTGACATGTAATCTAGTTACTGGACGAATGATACGATACTTGACAACTGGTTCGGCTAACACACGAAGAAGACAATATTGAACTGAAGCGAGTTTCCTCGACTCGAAGTATGAAGGTACAACCCAGGGATATAACTTTTGCGTTTATATAATATGCTTGTGCCCTTGAAGCGAGTAGACAAAATAGCATATCAAAGATGGAAGATTAACCAATAGTAAAATGGCATTCCTAAAAGCGGTAAAACTGGACGATACACGTGGAACGGAGAAAAGCGCGGAAAAGATAATTCAAATTTTCATAAGATAAATTTAAAAAATTAAAGTATAAAACATTCATTTTTGTGGGTGTCATATCCCCAACGGTACACCTCTGACACTTTGTGTTATAAGAAGAGTTGTGTACAAGCACTGTTCATACGTGCTAAGTCTCATTGTAGCACTGAATAGCTGCGAAAATCAAAAGAAAACCACCCTTACAAAGTGTTCAGAACCAATGGCTAGCCAGTCAACTTCATCAATAGATGTCTGTCAACAGAATATATCTCAGGAAAATCACCTCAACCTACAAAGCGACATGCTTTACTATAAACCAAAAATGTCTCGGAAACTGTCAACCAATTACTTCATTCATTTCTTATCAGCGTGGCGCATAAACCAACCAAATCGCTGCAAAGCATATTGTGCAAGCTGAAGGACTCATTATCCAAAAAAGACAAGACGAATATAGTCTACAAAACTATTTGCAAGGACTGTCAACATCACTATGTTGGCCAATCCAGCATTCGGATAGCCCAAAGAATTTATGAGTATCAACTTACAGTCAAACGACGTGTAATGTCATCAGTGATGTCAGTGCATGTAGAGGAACAAAATCACAACTTCTATTGAAACAACTTGAAAGTACTACAACATGAAAGCTTAAAAAGTCCGAGAGAGTTTCTTGGAACATGGTACTCCAATCAACAGATACTTGGACATCGCACCCAATATGCAGACAACCAAAAAGTGATCGACCAACTGGAAATTAATCAAGCTAATCAGTAATCAAACATTAGGTCAACAACATAAGTAGCTACAAAGGTCAACTTCTGATATAAAAGAAGACAAATTCATCCCTATTGACAAACCAATAATAACGCTCAAGATCGACCAGTATCATTTATGAATGTTCATGCAACTGAAAAATGCTTCGCTTCTTTATGAAGTAAATGCTGGTAAAACCACCTATCCCAGAAATGAAACATCCAAGGAAAAACTTCAAACTTCGGAAAAAAAACAGTTATCACTTTTTGTCACGTCTGCTAATTAGCTGTTCTAAATGGGATTTGTTAGGTCTGTAATTCAAATCAACAGGAAACAACCAAGATCGCTTGTACATGCAGTAAAATGCACACCTCTTGAGGTTCACTAATTTAGCCTCTAAAAAACGCACTCAGCAACCTTGTACGCATGCACCAGGCAATGAGCTACACCCATTGTGTGGGGGCTAGTGTTACTACCTGGTTGCCAAAACCTCGGTAGGTGGGGCGGAGTTCGAACCCGTTACTAAATGGTTGGAAGTTATCACTTTGAACCACAAAGCCACAGCTCTACACTATGTCTTTTCTCTCTTCACTAGAGAGCCATAAGCTTCAACTTCACTCCATCTTCTTCCTTTTCGCTTCTCAACAATAAATTGGACCTCTAGTCTAATCATTTTGACTCGACAAAATTCTAACAGTCTTAGAGAAGAGATATATTCAGCGAAGAAAATTTTCTTTCTCGACGATATCATTTTCTAAAGCTGTACAATCGTATTTATATATATCATAAACATATAACAGTCTACTATAAAACAATAGGGTATAATTGTATCATTAACGGGAATCAAGAATGCAAAGTAGTTGTGTAATAAACTGAGACAGTAGAAATATTGAGGAAGGTAAGGAGTTTGACAAGGTGAAAATTGTTAGTAGACAAAAAACGCTCCGAGATACGTTCGGAAAGCGTGCACTTTGTGCGGCCTATATAACTAACTCCACAGGAGCAAGTAAATGTGTAGACACACATCCAGGTGGCCCAAAGTGGCAACTTGTCCTTAACGCACTCCGGAATGAGTTGTTGACTAGAGAAGCTGGTCCGCAGTTTCGCAGAGAAGAATGTCTTCTTCAGTGATCTGGACAGCCGATTCTTCAGGATCTCTGCTGCTGTATCGCCTTTGAAAACAACGTTCATAAACAAGGTCTTCTTAGGAACTGTGACTACTCACTCCGTATTCTGATTTACTTTCAAGTTCTTATCAATAAATCTGGATGGATATCCATTTTGCATGAGAATCTTCCGTAGTTTATCTAATTCTTCGTCAATAGTATCACTGGTGCAGATTCTTTTGATTCTTGAAGATAAAGAATAGATTAGATTCCTCTTTCTGCTGAGAGGCATCCAGCGATTGAAATTCAAATATTGTCCGTTCCATGTAGGCTTCCTATAAACTGATCGCTGCAGAGAACCATCTAGTCTCCATTTCAATAAAACACCGAGAAAATGGAATTGTGAGTTCTCTTCAAATTCTGGTGTGAAATTGATCGATGGAGCTAGTTATACAGGCCACACAAAGCGCACGTTTTCCAAACGTATCTCTGAGCATCATCCTGCATGATTGTCGAGGGGAAAATGTAAATCAATCAACAGTTCAACATTGAACATCAGGTCAACTCTGGACATAAAGCTAGACCAGAATCCTCCTTAATTGTCATTTATCGTGTCAGATGGAATAGTTCAAAAGGAGTACACCTTCGACAGTTGTGCACAGCGGAGGCACTGCCAATTCATCAATTCAAGCCTACCCTCTACATGCGAAAGAATTACATTCAATCTCTCATCTTGCCTTGGTCTTAACACTTTCACTTTTTCGGTTTCATTATAATTAATTAGTTTATTATTATCACCTTCATCATGACCCTTGTCTCATTCTTCACCTTCTTTACATCTATCTATCAAGTGGACACTCAATATTTGCGTTTCTTATCCACCAACAATTTCCACCTTGTCAAACTCCTTACCTTCCTCAATATTTCTACTGTCTCAGTTTATTACACAACTACTTTGCATTCTTGATTCCCGTTAATGATACAATTATACCCTATTGTTTTATAGTAGACTGTTATATGTTTATGATATATATAAATACGATTGTACAGCTTTAGAAAATGATATCGTCGAGAAAGAAAATTTTCTTCGCTGAATTATCTCTTCTCTATGGGCATGTTTCGTAGTCTATCAGTCTTCATAAAACTATTTTGTGAAAATCCTTAATTTACTAATGTTCACTGGAACAAAGTTACTGAAATTATTCAGGATTATAGATCTTCAAGTTATCTTTATTTATTTCACTTGCCAAATAACCAATGGAATTATACCTCAGTGATACAATGAAAAAGTTGCAAATTGTACAACTCGTAGCAGCTGTTCATTAGTCTAGTCGTCCAGATAATTACTAGGATTATTTTCATATTAATAGATTTGGAATTCTTAAGTACAAAGGGTTATCATTTCGCCCCTGAAATAATTTATTTGAAAGCAATCAATCCGGATAAATAAAAGCTGATTCGATTACAATTAAGCACCATTTAATGACCTGTTTCAAGATAGACTTCCTGATGTAATGAGAAGCCATGACTAATGGAGTCAAGTTAGTGTGAGGGTAAATACTTACCGATGGCATTGGATGACAGCTCATTGGTTCAGGGAGATGACTTTCAACCAGTGAGTCATGGGTTCAAACATTGCTCCACCTACCGAGCTTTAGGCAACTAGGTAGTATCATTAGTCCTCATTCGATCGGTTTGGCTTACTGCCTACTGCACGAATGTGCACAAGGTAGCTGAGTGAATTTCGACTCGATTCAATTCATACCATTCTGCAAATTAACAGACTTCGAAAGACTGGAGTGTAAGCTACTAACGTGCTAGATTCAAGACCTAACGGTCCTGGCCTTGACCTCTAGTTGAGTATTAGGACAGGACATCTACCTTGGTTTCCAGTGGTTCCCCCAACTGATGTTAATAGGTGAAGAAAATCAATTTAGAACCAATTAATTTCCACCAACTCTAATGGAATTTCTCTTCTTTTACTGTCCACTAAGGGTTAGGATCAGATAACAGGATTTTGTGATACCCTCTGTTTTTTATTTATTCAGCCTTCAGTTGCTCTAAAAATCCTCGGTTCATTAAGCCGTATTAGGAATAACTTTAACCAATGCAAACAAAAAATCATGTTAACTTTCGTCTATCATTTCCCAGTAAGCCATATGCAGGAGCTAATGATACTACCTGGTTGTTCTAAGGTGAGTAGGTCGAGTGACTTTCGAGCTAATGAGCCAGTTGAGTGACTGAGTCAGTAAACCATAATATCGTGTTAATTACTTTTTAAGACGGTGGAGTTAAACCATCATGATGCTGTTGGGTTAAATACTCACAGTCTGCAATCCAGACCACCGGGGATCATCATGTGGAAAAAAAATGCTATAGATTCTGAGCAATAACTATCATTGTATAAGCATGCATATTTTAGTTTCGCTACTCTGTTAGTCTGAACCATATGAGAAGATGTAGGCTGCTTGGTTGGCTGACTGGGGTCCGCGAGACAGAGGGAATCAGTGGTTGATGACTCTTGGCGATATGGCTGAAAATCAGTCGCAGTGGTGCAGGTGTATTTTCTCTTTGACACCTAAAGCTTGAATATATGCGCCAATCGTTATCCTCAAATTGTCTACTGTCTCATACAACTTTGTCTACTTTGATATCACTCTTCCTTTTATCTACCTGTTCTTTGTATAGCATTGTGTAGTGTGGTAACTTGAACTGATGCACTTGTGTGCGAATTGTTACGTTTATTTTGTCTTTCTGTCTTGCCTTACTAATGCTACCGCTTCTTTGTTGTTGTTTTCCTATCGTGGAAATCTGCATTCTAATAATCATAACTAGATAATCTTTTTTCATTCTTTTTATAATTCTGTTGTGATCTCTAAGTACTAGAAAGTAGTCTGCTTTGAGTCCTACTCATATGTTTAGAACTATTGTAACAATGTTGTGTTCTTTTATATTGGTCTTATTTCAACTTTTTTGCTAATTTTCACATAGGGATTAGACTAAGTTATCAGCCTTCTCTACAATGATAATAATTGTGAAAAGTGTACAGTGTTTTTCAAGTTTTGAGGTTTGCACTTGAATTTTCTCATCACTAGACTAAGCGACTTTATCATACAAATAAATTTCTATATTTCAGTTCAAATCTTTCTTTTTGTGTTCTTTCTCTTCCAAAACTTTCGTGAGCGATAACTGGTTAAGGCATTTTTTGAAACGATAGACACCGATAATTTATTAACCTTTTTTAAGAAAACACAGTCAACTCTTTTCCTCCTGTGGAAGTGGTAGCTAGCTTTAAACCATGCGAAAAAGGAGTAAATAACCCATTAAGAACTTCCCTTTCATAAAGATTTTTCTGAAACTATGAATTAGCCTCAAAAGAAGTCACTGTTGTATCGTGGTGCTACCACATCAGCAGCATAAAAGTCAGACGCACAGTTTTGGGCAGAAGTAAGTCAGCTGGTGAGATTGTGAACCTTCTCCGATTCAGATAGCTGGGACATGTGTTGCACATGTCTAATCACCGTCTACCCGGGTGCACAATTTTGGTTGAAGTGGGTTCGAGCCGGAAGAAGGTTAAAGGTGACCAGAATAAGAAGTAAAATCGGTTCCTGTTGGTTGGGGTTCTGTAGAAAAATATAGACTTCTCGGTTAGGGTCTGTGTGATATCCGAAATTGATGTTTGAATACTCCAGCTGATGCGGCTCAGAAGCGATATCGGTGGCGCAGATGCATCCATATATTGTCTTCATCTTAATCATGAATCTTGATTTCATCATTGCCTAGTTCTTTCTTTTTATCTTATTATGACTTCCTACCACTGTTGACTACCTTCTTCCTTATTTCTGCATCTCTTGCCTAAATGCTTTGTACCTTGATGTACTAATATGGAGTGCGACAACTGGGACCGTTACTCAGTAATGTCAGATCCCATGTAGATACTGATTAAATGAATATTCATCGATGATGAAGTCGCACTGCTGACTGGATACGGGGTGTGACAGCAGTAAGGTGTTCCCTTTGGATGACTAGCAGTGCCACACTGATGCTATCTTCTCTATAGGAAGAAGGGAGGGAGTTAGAAAACGTCGGGCCCTAAAGTAGAACACTCCCCCCCCTCGCGGCATGCCGACGCTTGAGGCGGGTATTCTTAGTCGAATTCGAAAGCAAGAAACCAAAATCTCAAACTTGCAGAAACGCCATGTGTGACCGGCCTCAAGCAGATTTCTCTTAGGCTGTGTTATCATGCACCATCCTTTCTTTTAGGTACCTCAAGATGAACTAGCCTTCTAATGTGTATGCAGTTGGAAATTGTCAACCGCCTGCACGTTTCCAGCAGCACACAAGACCCAGTCAAACGTAACCTATCAAATTGACTTCTATGCAAATATTCTTTTGATGGAGTGTCGAATATTTACGTTGTGTTATTCTTGATTGTTACTGGTTCTACTTATTATTATCGTTTCGATATTTCGCATAAGTAACGTGTTGTGGATTCATGTCTTAGTGTTCTAGATAGTTCAATATGCTGCTTAGGATACTTTTATACAATTTTATTGACTAGTGTGGTTATTACTTACATTGTACATGATCACTTTGTTAGAAGAAATAAAACTCGGTTAGGGGAAATTTCAAAGTGCACTAGGCCAATACATAGTACTATTTCACGAAGTACTTGACTAATAGTGTGACTTGTTCAGGAAAGCATAGGCTTCCTATTTAAGAACCACTGCGCTACAGAAATAAGGTGTTAAAACTTTCCTGGGTTAAAGCACAGCACCTATCATAGTAATGGAAATGTCTAAATACCACCCACCTCGACATACCATACTAGGGAAAGTTGGACTAAGTCTGAAGAAGGTTCCAGGTGGCCAGATGAAGACGTGATACCAGTGCATGAGGTCTTTGACTCTTAGCCGTGTGGGGAGATGTAGACTGCCCGGCTAGGGTACTTAAAACTATAGGTGTCAGTGGTTAAGACCTCTCGGTGACATGGCTGAAAATCTTTCACAAATGCACTCACTCCTTGATGTCTTCTAAAACTTGAATATTTGCTCTGACCTTTATCTTCAAATTGCTTATTCTTTCATTCAACTTTGTATACTTTGACGTCACTTTTTTCTATCCACTTGTTATTTGTGGAGTGTGACACCTTGAACCGACGCACTTATGTGCAAGGTTCTACTTTGATTTTGTCTGTCTGTATGCGGATGCTTCAATACCTCATTTTCGCTTAAATCTTAAAAGTTTTGTTGTCATATATACCTGTTTTCATCTGTTATATTCAGCAGAGGTATCTTTTCAATGGTATTTATATATAATTATTGTAATTATTGTGTGATTATCTGTTACTTGTTCGCTTTTATATTCCTTCTTAGCAATGGATGTTATGTCAGATGGACAACAGACGCATTTATCTGTTTCATCAGGTCCATGGAATGTTGTCACTCACCAATCATCATTACGTAATTCTTATTCTACGAATCGTCATACTGGTGTATTGTCATTATCCGAACCACCTCAGACTCCACTGCAACTAGGTAATATTGCTCATCGAAAATCTACAATGACACTTTATTCAACCACAGCTACAACAACTCCCTTACATTCAGGAAAATATACTTCAAACTTTTACTCACGTAATTCAACAAGCTATGCAGTTAGTTCACTCATCTCTGGATCTTATTTCCCATTTGGTTTGAGTAAGAAATCATGCAGGATCCCTGTATCTGCTGGTCAGCGTAGGTGGGCACTTGTTCGTCCATCAGGTTAGTTCTTGATATTTCTGATATGTATGTATTTTTTTTCTCTTGTGAAACACTAGTGTAATTTCATTTCTAATGTGTGTTACTATTCTCGTTTAATTATGTGTATACATACGTAGTTCTACATATCATTTGTTTACTCTAGAGGATTTTTACATTGACACTTAAATCATCTGATTTTCAGGCAAATGCACTCTGTTTCCCTTACTTTTGTCGTACTGAAAGCATAACCATGAGGTGGTCAGAGGTGAATCACACTAAAGTATACCATTAGTGTATAGTGGTAAAGTAATGATAATTTATTATTTGTTACAAACATTTGCTACAACAAAAACAGAGACTAAAATATGCATCACAAAGTAATGTAAGAACAGTATGTAACTAACCAGTCATATGGTAAACATTCAGTGGAGCTTTTATGAATTCATTGTTTATATAGTTGTTTAAGACGATTACTAATATAACAATGAAAATCCGATTATGTCCAGTACTGTATTTTCACCGAATAATTACATTTAAATTCGTGTGCTAGACAGTTTAGCCATACCTATTTTGTTTGGGAGCTGATGATGTTACCTTGCTACAATAAACCCTCATGGGCAGGAGGCTTTTCGAAATGGTGAATCAGTTGTTGAAAACTGAACGGTTAGTCTAATCACCTACATATCTGATATTGTCTCAAACCATCAAATTCTGGGATCCTTATATCTCGCCTATGAAGTCATTGTGCATCAACTCAACGTGGCTCTATTTCATAGCTCTGGGGTGCTTATTTGTTATGTAAACAAGTATTAATAGCGGAAAGCAAGAATGGCAGTTTTACTCTTGAGTAATAGCGATTTCATAACGCGCTTATTTTGTTATTTTTCTTATCTTTGTATACCTAATTTGCCTTTTGATGTGGTTATTATGCGCGGATGGCTTAAGTCGATCTGCTTCTAATATTTTCAGGCTTTTACTCGGTCACAAAATAAATACTGAGTGATAAACTAACACTCAAGAAGAGATTCAATAGAGAAACTGAACAAAAGCGATGTCATCTATAGAATATCTTGTACTGACTGACCAGTTAAACATGTAGGTCATATATCGAGACTGCTGAAGATCAGAATGAATGTACATCGAGGGTTAACTAAAGGTCAGGCTACAGTGGAAACAGGAATATCGAAACAATCCTATTTAAACAGGAAAATACATGATTACATCGAAGAAAAAATTTTCTTTTTGACGAAATTCGCTTAGCTATACATGCCTGAGTATATATTAAAATGCATGAAACATTCAAGAGTAATTTCCGGTCAAAGGTCAATATAAATTGCGTCACAAAGGAAAGTTACGTGATGTGAGAAATAGACAAAATGATTACAAAATAAAAGTGGTTACGCCATATGTGGGTTATTTACAGTGATTGATAATTTACGATGACCATTGCAAAAAAGAGGTTGTACATACTTCTTTTGAAAGCATAATGATGGTTTGAATTTTTGAGTCACTAATACTTCAGCTATGCCCATATATCTCAACCTCACTCCTTTCTAGTAACTCGGTCCCATTTTTTACAGGATTTTGAAGGAATTATCAAAAGAAGCCAAATGTCCTGAGTTAAATAAGTATTCTGTTACAGAGCTGAGGATGCATTTGTATAGTGTTCATGGGCGCATTGGATAAGATGCGGCATGATATGACTGATGTACTTGGTTTCACAGGAGCAACTAAACTGATATACATATGTGGATGTAGCCTGAAATGATATGGAAACGTGAACATAAAAATTTCGGAAAAAACTCACTGATAGCAGTTGATGTGCGAGATGGAAAACAATACCGATTGAGTTAATGTTGGCATCTTACTTTGGCCACTTCAATAACTGCTGAATAACCAATTGCACCGCATTGGTGAACCTCCTAGCTTGTCGGACACATTGCGAAATGATTGATAGTATTCGGTCAGCATTCAGGACCAGATAACATGGAATTAGTTGCCCTCCAGTGACCAATCAATGTAGACCAACACCGTCTTAGCACAGAGCACAGTTTTTGTCGATTTTCTGCCAAATGTCAGTCATCATGGTTGGGATGTCGTATTTACGACTAGGATGAGTCACTAAGTGAAGACAAAACAAACAAGAAGGGTATGTGAAAAGAGAACCCACAAGTCAAAGAATAATAAGTAATAAATACATTTGAATGAATATGATTAATTCCGAGGTGTATGACCTGAAATCTTGAGCCCTTATCGCTTGAAGTTTTAAAGTTCTCAATCAATCAAACAGACTTTACTTTCCTACTTTAGCTTAAACCAAAAGTTAGCGATCTCAGTTCCATACAATTATTTTAGTCTAGTTCCTCTTAACTTATTCTCAAGCCGAATACTATTCCAGTTGATACCGTACTTCTTAGATATGTGTATATGTGGCATAAACACAGTGAGCAAATAATCCCTAAGTACTGTTTTTATACATATGTTGTCTTATGCAGTTATCCCCTTTGTCCTATTGTTTAAACTATGTATAGAGATTAACAAAATCGCGAGAAATTATTTCAATATAATTGATTCTTGCTTCATACTTGTTCCTTATTCTACCTTATCTACAGATGAGTTTGGTAGCACTATTACACCTCATTCTATTATTACATCGACCGATGATATTGATTTCATGTGTCCAACACCAATACCGTATAATCTTTGTGAGGTAAGTAGTGTTCCTGCTGATTGCATATTGTAGTCGAGAAGTTTTAGTGTGTTGCATTTACGCTTGGTCATACTGATTAGCGCATTAAAAACTTGGGCACTGTGGTAGAATGTAATTCCATATTAGATTTGTTTATTTGATATGAAGCGCACAGTGATACAGTATTATTTACTTGATTACGTTTCGAGCATAAATTATTGCTCATAATCATATCAATGTAATCACACTTCTTTCGATATCTGATTTTATAGTCCTGTCACCTGATCTTTGTTTTTTGATTGGTAGTAAAGTTTCCCATATCTCTGGTATATGTGTTGCGTCATTCTTATTACATGTGTTGGGTGGGACAAAACCACTGTACTTAAGTTTAATATAGCTAGGTGGAGAGAGAGATTAATTACTGAATCTTTGTTCATCGAATCCACACCCAACACATGTAATAGGAATGACGCAACACCTATACCAGAGATATGGAAAACTTTACTACCAATCAAAAAGAAAAAAAACAAAGAGAGATCAAGTGACAGGACTATAAAATCAGATATCGAAAGAAGTGTGATTACATTGATATGATTATGAGCAATAATTTATGCTCGAAACGTAATCAAGTAAATGATTAGCGCATTCTTTAATCTGTCTCTTCCTCCACCTCTAGCTCTATTGGATCTAAGACTAACATTCTTTTCCCTTCCTAAGGTATGATTATGAGCCAGTGTATGGGGAGCGATAACCGACTTTTCCTCTAAATTACATTATTATTATTATTGTTAGTCCCTTGGGTTCCTAGTAGAACATAGGGCTTCAGTAGCACGCCTCCAGTGACCTCTGTTCTCTGAGATCTTTTGAACCTGGTCCCACGACAGCCCACAACCTCTCATTTCCTCCTCGCACGACCTCCTCCATGTCACCCTCGGACGTCCAACTCGTCGCTTCCCATGGGGATTCCACTCGAGTAACTGACCTGACGCGTGATGTCCTCAGTCGGCCTTCTCAGTGCATGCCCAATCCATCTCCACTTCCTCCTGCATATTTGTTGCGTGATAGGTACTTGGTTGATTCGTTCCCAGAGTTCCTTGTTGCTTATTCTTTCTGGCAATCCATCTGATCTTCAGTAGCGAGCCAGCGTAGGTGGTAGTTGCTGATGAATGTCTGTAGTTTATTGGAAATGCCTTTCGTGACGCGACAAGTCTCTGAGCCATACAAGAGCACTGACTTGACGTTGGTGTTGAAAATCCGTATCTTGTTCCGCATGCTGAGTGCAGTGCAGAAGATCTCCACGCTGGTTTCAGGCTAATGAACGCCTGTCTTGCTTTTCCGATTCTGACTTTGACATCTTCGTCCGTCCCACCTGTAGTTGAAACAGTGCTTCCTAGATAGGTGAAGGAGGTTACTTCCTTTAAGTTTCTCCCGTTGATGGTGATTGGAGTTTGTTGTTGTTGTTGATGTTGGTGGTGCGGTATCTTCATCACTTCTGTCTTCTCTATATTCACCTGAAGTCCCGTCTTAGCTGCCTCTTCTGTCAACTTGTTAGTTTTCGCCTGCAGATCTTCAAGTTTGTGTAACATTAGGCACAAATCATCGGCGAAATCCAAGTCTTCTAGGTTCTTTTCCGTCGTCCAGTGTATCCCCCTCTTCTCGCTGCCTACTGTTTGCTGCATGATGCAGTCGACCACAATCAGGAATATCATGGGGGATAGTAGGCAACCTTGTTTCACTCCTGTCTTCACTTCAAAAGCATCACTGAGCTTCCCATTGTGGATTACTTGGCATGTGGCACCTTCATATAGTTGTTGAATGAGGCGGATAAAGGTTTATGGTACTCCGTAGTATTGAAGCAGTTTCCAAATTACCTCTCGGTCGACGCTGTCAAAGGCCTTCTCAAAGTCGATGAAGTTGAGGTAGGTTGAGCTGATTGCCATTCTATGCTCTGTTCTATGATGATGCGTAGGGTGGCGTTGCAATTTGGTCAGCACATGATTTGTACTTCCTGAAGCCTGCCTGTTCCGGTCGCAGTTTTGAATCCAGTGCATCTTTAAGCCTCTCCAGGATGATGCGGCTTAATATTTTGCTTGCTCTAGGTGGACAGGAGAGTGATTCCGCGCCAGTTCTTGCAAGCACTGAGGTCTCCTTTCTTCGGCAGTTTGACAAGGTAACCCTTCTTCCAATCACTAGCCAGGTACCTTCTCTTCCTTCCACACCTTCTGCAATAGTGGTGTGAGCATGTCCGCTGTTGTCTCTGCATCTGTTCTCAGTGCTTCTGGCGGTATTCCATCTGGTCCTGCTGCTTTCCCACATTTCAGTAGCTTTATGGCGTTCAGGACTTCCATTTTCGTTGGGTGATTTATGTTCACTTGTAATTCAGCGGCTGCAGGTGGTATTTCTGGATGAAGTGCAGGTGGTGGTGGTGGTCGACTCAAGAGCTTCTTGAAGTAGTCGGCCCATCGTTTCGTTTGTTTCTCTTCTTTCGTAATTAAATTTCCGTCGTCATCTTTAATTGGTTTCATCTGTGTTGGTCTCTTCCCTGATAGCAACCTGGTTATTTGATACAATGTCGTCAGGTCTCTGTCTCTCCTACCTGCAGCCTGTTCTGCTTCACTTACCAGTGTTTCGTAGAAGTGTCTTTTGTCTTTGCACCCACTCTTCTTCAATTCTTTGTCCAGTGTTTTATACATTGTACTCAGTCCCTCTTCTCGTTGAGCATCCTTGCACTGGTTTATCTTCTGCTTCACCATCCTCCTCTCCTCTATCAGCTTCCAGGTATCCGTCGGGATCCATTCCTTGTCTTCTTTCTTCTTCCTTCCTAATACTGTTGTGCAGGTTTCTTTCCACATAGCTTTCAAAGACTTCCAGTGTTCTTCCACACAGGTTTCTTCAGGGATGTTGCTCGATATCTCCCATTTTGTCTTGATGGCTGCCTTGAAGATCTCCTTTGTAATTTCATCCTTCAGTTTCCGAGTATTGTGCTTGAATTGAGGTCTATCACCAGCTTCCTTGAAGGCTTTTAACTTGATTTGGAAGGTAGGTTGCTTGCACTAGATAGTGGTCTGAACCTACATCTGCTCCTCTTCTTGCCCTTGTGTTAAGTAGACTGCGTCTCCATTTTCTTGAGATTGAGATAAAGTCTATCTGATTTTCAGTGTGTCCATTTGGTGAAATCCATGTCGCTTTGTGCCTGAACACACTGCCTCCAATCACCAAATCGTTGAATGCGCAGAATTCTGCAAACAATTCTCCATTCTCATTCATTTCACCTAGCGCCTCTCGACCCATGGTTAGTTCTCTTCCTGTGTCGTCCCCTCCCAGTTTGGCATTCATGTCGCCCATTAGAATTTTGATATCGCCAACTGACGTCTTGTCCAGTGTTTGTTGAAGTTGTCTGTAGAAATCCTTTTTTTTCTCTTGCTCTGCATTATTTGTAGGTGCATAGCGTATCATTGTATGATTGTGACCTTCCTTCCTTTTGAGTTGAATCTTGCTGTCATGATCCTGCAGGAAGAAATTGGTTCCCACTGCATGAGGGCTTTCAATGCTCTTGAGGATATCATGATAGTCACTCCTCAACTCAGTGTGCTTGTGGTTGTCATCTGGGTGACGATATCGGAGTAGATTATTGATTCTACAGTTGACAGTTTGGAGAGTTCACTCACATTCCATCTGCTTTCGTAAATTCCTAACACTTCAATGCAATACCTTCTTATCTCCTTTGCAATCTGGGCAGCCTTGCTGGGTCCAAACATCGTACGGACATTCCATGTCCCCACGTTTACTTTCGCTTTCATCTAGGGAGAGAAGACACATCGGCCTGGTCAATTGGCTTCCCGAAGGCAGGCTTTCACCAACTGGCGTCATTTCGCCTCTCCGATTGCAGCGGGGAATAAGTTTGTTTTCATTTTTTATGTTTTGTTTGTGCTTTGAAGTTTGTTTAGCGGTTAGATTTGTTTTCCGGGGTAGGGTTGCTAGCCCTATGCCCAACGTTCCCTCTTTACCCGGGCTTAGGACCGGCTAGTAACTAGTAAACTAGTTAACCAGGCGAGGTTCTAAATTACATAAATTATTAGAATCTATCATTCTGCATATTTCACTGAATTGTTTTTCTGCACCATCCCGACTGACCTTGATCGGCTACTTTGACCTCTGTGTTTGACCTCACAGTTATTATATTTAACTTGATAGATTAAGTGCTTGTGCTTGATTGGATCTATTAGATCTTTTAACTAAAAGTGTTTCTCTCGAAGTCAGTTTGTGGGTTTTAATGCCATCCTTATTCCATCATTGTAATGAGCCCTACGTAGACTGTCCAATGTCTCTTCTCTATATTGTAACTCAGCAGAAGATTTGTATTGCCTCGTAGGCATGTTATAGCTACCACTAATATTATTACTCTCTCTGTTTTATAAATCTTCATAAACTCTGAAAGGTTTTTACTTAGTAGCAATGTCTTCTAAGGCTGTTGCTAAGTCGTAATGTCTCTTTGATAAGTTTAAGCTTATTTAAATTTTGTAATTTACTCATATCAAACTTCTAGTTTGATTACCTACCAACCTACCAAGCGTATCTTAGCAGATATAGAATGAGACGATGTGAAATTCAAGGATGTATTCGAGTAAAATATTTTGTTGTAAACACTAATAATTAAGCAGCTGTCATCTTCCCTTCTCTCGTGTGATAAGACAAGCTTATTCACTGACATGTGCAGCCGATTGATTACGTTACTGGCATGGTGTAGAGGTTTTACTTATTGAAATAGGTATTCCTTTTTGATCATAAGTTTAAATCCAGTTGTAGCTACCTATCTCTGGGCAGTTAAGTAATAACGCACGTTAAGAGTGGCTCAGCCTTGTATACAAATATGTACCTGATCAAGTTGCATTATAGCGTACAACTATGGTGCATATACACCAACGTTTTGTTCTTATATAAAATAAAATCAATTTTATAAACTATTTGCAAACACATTGCTTGAGTTTATATAGTTAGGATGCGTTCACAGATCTCAGCGATATTAACATCTTATCTATTTACTATTTAGAAAGATAGATGCATAATTTCCATTTTTTGGCTAAGGAAAAACACAAAAAGCTGTGTTCAACCTGGTTTTCATCATGGATCGACTTCAGCTGGAAACCTATTAAAAATCTGGGAGCACTGGAAAGGTGTTTCGTCCTAGTATAGACCTCTAACAATGCTCACTTGTGATCCCGCCAGGGATCGAACCATTGGATTGCAACCCAGTGGTTCAATGATAGCGTGCTCACAACGAAGCTCGAAAATCATGGGTGATGGATGCATACTGCTGAGTAGTCCTACGCTATGAGGAAACAACTACTCACTGGTCCCATGTTTTAACAGTCTGTGATAAATACCAACTCGAAATCAGTAAACAATTACAAAAATTGACATATTTTCAAATGAACACACAATGTTGACGACAGCTTATAATCGATACGAGGAGATAGTTGAAGGTGAAATATAGACCTAGATGGTGGCAGGATTCGGACCAGTGATACATAGATTCCAGTTCAGCGCTATACCAACTGGTCTGCGATATCCAGCTACGTATCACACGTTCATATGGCCGTCGAGCGCAGTCAAAGTAAGACCTGAAGAGTAGCTGAGTCTCATTGGTTTGAATTCTGTAGCGGCTCAGGTTTTCACTTCACCTTACCTTAAATTACGTTCATTGACTGAGATGGCCGGGATATATGTTACATATACCCAGCCACTGTCTGCCTCGTCGCACAATGTTGGCCGAAGAAGGTTCAAGCTGCACAAAGGCTTGGAGCGGCCACACTAAAACATGACATCAATCCATGAAGTTTCGACTGTTCGTTTTGAGACATGTAGGGCAATGCAGACTAGCCATTTGGGGTCCACGGGACAAGACAAACCAGTGTTTGGAGAGTCTAGATGATATGGCTGAGAACCGATGTCAGTCGCGCAGATATATACACACATTATTCTCATCTTAACTGCTTTGCTTAATCTCGTCATTTTCACATTGTTCCTTTCTCTCCTTTACTACTTTTTACTTCTTCTGACCAATTTTCCTTCACTTCTCCATTCTCGATTTCATTGCCTTGTTACTTGATGTGCTGATATGAGATGTGAAACGTGGACACGTTACACAGTAATGCCTTGTCTTCTATCGATATTGATGATGATTACCACTCCGTATCCATAATATTAGTTTTCCAAACCCCCGCTATCTGAGATAGCTTCGTCAGTAAACAATTTATGATGTTGAATGCTGTTTCTTATTCTCCTTTATTATGTACATTGACCAGTTATGTAGGCAAGTAAAATATTCTCTCCTCCATAGTTCAATATTTAATTCAAAGCAGCTATTCATGTGCATCATGTTTACACGTTTTATGCTTTGGTCTAATTAGTAGTTTTTAGTGAATTTTTAAAACCAATAAATGATCTAAATATTTAACTCTGAAACAATAAGGTCAAAACTTTATATTTTAGTAAATCTACTTATATGAGTCTAGGCTATTGGATTGCATGTATCACATTTATACACTACACGTGTTACTCACAATTTTATTACATTAACCTGAAGTGGTGATTGCACGTCCTGGATTCCACTGCTAGATGCAATCCGTTATTACTACGAAACTGAAGAAAAAAAAATTTTAATGTTTATTTTTCTAAAAGCAGTAAAACACGAACTCAGCATTGTTGGTGCTTAGCAAAGGACAGTGGCTAAGTGTGCGTGTATGTGTGTGTGAGAGAGAGATTAATAACATTGTTTTGTTGATGAGTTTTCTGTGTAAATGTAGGTTAAGTGTGTAGGTTTAAGATTGGATATTCTCTTCTTAACTCCGGAAATATAACCAGTAATAAAAACGTTGTTGAACATTATTAAAGAGTATTATTATTATTATTTTCCATTTTGCTGGTAAATGATATATATGTATGTATAGATGAACTCTTGATAACAGCAGATGGTTTTGAAGTTTTTATGTTATGGTATTTGTTTCATCTTTTCCACAACAGCTAACTTAAACATTAATAATCTGGTTAATGGATACATTTGTCTTCACAATATGTGGTGTTTGTATTGTTGAAGTGATTGCTTTATGAAGATGATGGTTCAATCAGTCAATGTTAACATGAGATACAGTATTTTTATGTTATAACTCTCTGATTCCCTGCACATGATATCGGAATATGAATCCCAATTGTACTTGGCAACCTTGTACAGATTCGTGCTGTAGGCGATGAGCCACACCTCTTGTGTGACGGCTAGTGATACTACTTGGCTGCATATGCCTTGGTAGGTGGAGCGGGACTGGTACCTGTGAAAGTTATCTCTCTAAACCAATGAGTCACAGGTCCAGAATATCAAGATGTATGGCAATAAAAAGAAAGAGGAAAATACAAATGATAAGTAACTTTAGGTTTATGGGGATTTTATTTTTAAGGTTGTATTCATCATGGACTGATATCAGTTGAGGGACTATTAAAAACCTGAGAGAAGTGGACAGCCGTTTCGTCTTGTCATAGGACTGCTCAGCAGTAGGCACCCACGACCTCGCCTGGGACCAAACGAAGGACGCTGTAATCGCTTCAGGGTTTTTTATCTTAGAAGTAGTGAATACATCTGGGCCATTGTGATCGATTTTCAGCCATGTCACCAAAACTCCTCAATCACTGACCATGCTTCAATTAACTTGTTATGTTGGTGTAGATGGTAACTGTAGACTCGTAACACATATCTTAGTTGGTAAACTGACATAGCTTCATTAACTGACTTACCTCTCCTGCCTAAAACTACGCCTAATATCTATGCTGCTCATGTGGTGATTCCATCGCAAGCGGCCAGAGCTATGAAGACACTAGTGGTTAAATACCTTCTCATTTCCTGCACCTTACGTGTCTTTGTTTCATAGCAATTTAGTTAGAGAGAGTGAATTACTACGCAGTACACTCAATTCTTAGTAAGTATTTGGATGTCTAGTTAGTGCCATGAACAGTGTTAGTTGAAAAAGACCTACCAAGCCTTTGTGAAAATCACTGATACTACAGAAGACGAGGAATAGGAAAATAACTACTCCATCATTTTTAAATTCAATTTCAAAATACACTTCATTTCACTGTCACACCGCTTAACCTGATCGACAAATCTCGCTCAGTGTTGAGCACTACGGTTTCGACAGCTACCTCGGTTACTCTATGGGGATCAATTCACGTTTGTGGTCCAAGTTAACACGTTAGGCTTTAATGTCTATTCAACTTGGAATGTCATCTCACCAGTACCTTTATTTTATTTTCCTAACTACATACATTGTAGGTTTTAATGTTACGGACTACTATGCGAAAGATTTCTTTTCAGTGAGAATATGATTTTCTTCATTTGAATCCTATTGAAAATTTGATTACAACAGACGCATGTTTCATCTCGTTTTCACACCACGTTTCTATGACTAGAATCTTGTTGGTTTAACTTATCTTGATTTTTTACAGAACATACTTTTAAACTTACTGACATCTTTTTCTACATTATGGCGAAAGTGATTCTGAACACTCATTTAGTAGTAGCTTTAAGTTGTGACTAAGATTCTTGGCTTTTACAGGTCTAACCGACTACTTCATGGCTGTCATCAGTTGAATAATGCTGAAAATGTCGTTTAATGAGATCGAACCTAATTGCTTCAGAGCTACTCAGCATGGTATGCTAGTTTTTTTTTTTTTAAATTCTGGAGGTCATATATTTGGACTAGTAAACAGTTCTATAAAAGAATGGGAAGATTGTTGACTAACCCATCTACTATCGCATATTGTTGCCCTCAAAATATTATATATACTTAAAGTTAGGGTACTAATGATGGATAAGTAGCCACCAGTGGAATCCACGACTCCTAACTCGTCCTATTTGCGACTCTTCAGCTGGATCTATATATCTCCTAGTGAACAATGTTCTTCCTCATAAGACTCGAACCTAGGACTAGTCGTTTCAAACTCCAGAGCGTTATCCAATAGTCCACTGAGTCACGAAGCCACTTCTTGTGAGGCGGGCATAGTTTTTATGTTGTTGCTTGTATTATACGGTCGCTGACTGGCCTATGGGTTCCCACACGAATGCCTCGATATTACCTATGTTTCAGTTTTACTAATGATAGATTGTTAGATTAGTTTAACGGTTTAGTACCATTTAATTTTTTTCTGTTTTCTTCTTTTATTACAATACAGATTTGGGCGGCATATTTCGACTTTTTACGTGCATACTTGAAAGACAAAAGTGATTCAGAGGATATGGGACAGTTATGTAATACAAACTTATTTGGCCTGAAAGGTACTGGCACCACTACCAATAACAGTAATAACAACAGTAGTCATATATCTTCAAACACTCATCAATTCAACTTGTCTAAAGCTAATGTGTACAGGTAAGCTTGTTTATTTATTGGAATGCATACGTTTGTTGTTTCGATTACTTCCATCTATAGATTGATGTAAAGTACTAATCAGAAAATTTATGATCATGTGGTCATGAAACAACCATTCTCATCCCCTAGTGAATATTAATATACTGGATGTCAGTTTGTTTTTGCAATTTGATGATATTTGCGATATGAGTGAAATTAAGATCTGTTCAGTAGCCGGATGTTATTTCTCAGTTGGTAGAGCACTGTGTCGGTAACGCCTGATGTCACTGGTTCTAATACTGTGGTGGCTCAAATTTTCATTTCACCTTCAGTCTATCTCCTCGTATCTGTTTATTTTATTGTAACCCTGTAATTCCTTAGTGATATAGTAACCAGAAAACTTGAAATCTTACAATTCGTTTTATTCCTTGCATATGTAAATACGTATGCAAATTCTTGAAGTCATCTGTAAAAAACATCAATATACTTGTTTAGTGTGTTTTCTGTAAATTTTATCACATGAAGTATTTTTTATGATATTACAATCGAATGGTTTACTTGTGTGCAGAATACAAAATATCAGTGTATGTTAGCCAAGGAAATAGAATCGAAATCCAGTCAGAAACCTTGTTTTTACGCTTGTATAGTAGGCAATGAGCCACACCTATTGCGTGAAGATTAGTGATACTACTTGGTTGCGCAGATCTCAGTAGACTAAGCTACGTCCTCTCAAAGCTCCTGCTGAAACGAAGGATCAGTATCTAGCGACCAAGATGTTGAATAGTGTATGTGATAGCACTAAGCAGGATTGTCTCTTCAGTCTTTATACGTATGTGATTCAGTTTCTCGGAACGCAGACTTTCCAATACCCCTTACGTTGGCTATGTTCCTTGAATTTGAAATAGCTTAGGTTACCTGTCAAGAAGTTTCATTTTAGGGTCTATACCTGAATGGAATGACAAATATGTGGATCACTTTATAGGGAACTCAGTGTTCGAGACCACACAGTTATGTGACTGGTTGTAAAAATATATTACTTGCATCAAAAATTATGCCTTTTTGACCATTACTTTTCTCTACTACTTTTAATAAAAATTGCCATTTAAGTACTTTTAGTAGTGAATAGTGACTAGTATGCACTTCTGGGAGCTCTGTTGAAACGTATTCAGATGAGGAAGTCATGTTTATCCTAGGTATTTGACACCCTCTACTGTCTTTTGTGATCGTCGAGTAATAAATGATACGAGTATATCTTGGATACGTTTCTAAGACTTTGAACTAATGTAAAGTACTGTAGGATTGGTCTGCATCTAGGTGCAATTTGATATTAAAGCTTGTCATAGTATCAAAAAGTGGTTGTTTTATCTGTGACAGTCTAATAGTTGACGAGATATTTGTCACAGCTATAGAATGCATGTTTGGCTTACCGTATCTGTAATCCTGGTGGGATGTATGAATTCTTATCTGAAGATGAGTATGCAGTCTACTCCGTACCCCTACTTTTTAAAAAGCAATAAATAAAACAATTTGTTTATTGAAACTTGTACCTCAGTGGAAAATCCATAACTCACTGGGGTGGGGGAGTGCATATGCGATTGAACTGAGTCTAAACAACTTTTCTATTCTGGTGGAATGTAATTGTTTTTTAATGACCTAGGTTTTTCTTAACCTAATTAATTTGTAACCAAAGTTTCGGGAAAAGATGAAAAACCAGTGAGTTACCATATGATTTTAATTAAGCGATCAGAACGCTCGGATATTATCCAGTCGGAAATTATCTATGAATGCCGTCCACATGTTGTGTGTACATTCCTTTCACTGTCATATTAAGCTGATATGAGTGTCAAAGCTGTTCTATGCAAACGTTTTCCTATTATTTTCAATGTATTTTCAAGATTTAATGGTCTTGATTCTTTGTTTAGGGTTACTTACTAAGTCTTTGGTTTTAGGTCAGTATTCTTTATCTTCCCTTACTTTTGAACTGCAATTTCAAGGTGGTTTCTGGCTGGAAGGTTGAATATTGCACATGCACGTGGACATCTAGCCGTCTGTAGCCTTACGGTAGTTGTTTGATACTCGATACTTATTGCACAAGACGTAGACCTCGTGCCTCAGTGACCCAGTGGATAATGCTTTGGCGTTTGGAGCGATGGGCTCAAGTCTCTGTGGGAACAATATCAGTAGCTGGGGTGTAGGTATATCCAGCTGACGAGTCTTAAGTACGACAAAACGCCTGTCGTGGATTCCGTTGCTAGCCACCAAGCAGTCTCTTTCTGAGTTTAAAACCCTCAGTGTCATTCTGGAAATGGTGATGATCGAGCTATGTACGCGTTATGAAAAGCGGACTGTATGTATGTGACTAGTGAAACTGAGACAGATCATCGTCAAGGTAATTCAACATATGTTATGCTTTCCCACTATGTTCAACTCATAGGAGTTGATCATATGCTTTACCATTCTTATTAAGGGGAGTTTAGTTATGTGTTACCCTTTTGGAGCTTTGTTGAATACTCTCTACTTGACATCTTTCTTCTAACCTTTATGTTGAAATTATGTGTTCTTTCAAACAAACGACTAACAGCTGCTACATTGATGTAGTGGTTAGGCTTGTGTGTCACAATGACCCAACGCGCCATGCTGGTGGAATGCTTCTTCTCTCCTGGTCCTACCATGCCAGAAATGTCTTTTGGATAGTGGTAAGACGAAACGCAGTTACCGTTGTAGTGTAACTTACTACACCATGATGGAGGTCTGAGGGCGAAGTTGTACTTCTATCTGGATAGAGTATGACAGCAGTAAGGTAGCTTGCCTTGGATTACCATCAGTGTTACTCTGATGCCGCCTTTCTTGTGGGAATAGGACTGGACTAGAAAAAGTGGACCCCAAAAACAACACACCCCACCCCTTTGCCACATGCGGATGCTTGGAACAGGGATTTGTAATCGGATTCGAAAGCAAAAAACAAAAATCTCAAACTTGTCAAAAGATCATATGTAACTGGCCTCAAGCAGATGTCCCATGGGCTCCACAGTCACACAAATTGTCTTCTCTTTTAGGTACCTTCAGAAGAAATAGCTTTCCACGGTGTAGGCAGCCGAGAAGTGTTCTACTGCAAGCTTACAATAGTACGCAAGACCTAGTCAACTCTGTCTCCTCCTTTGCCTGACCCTCCTGATACTAATATTGGGCTTCTTACGCCTTACCCAACCTGTCACTCTGGAACCACTGTTTACCTCATTCCTAGTCTTCTAAGGCCTCGCCCACCATCGATTTCATGTAGGAGCTTTCGGCCTGAGGCTGAATAGCACAGTAAGCATCGCTCGCCAGGGGTCTGGAAACTCTAGACATGAATGTATGCTATGTGTTTGAGACACGTGTACAAAACTCGAGCGCGTTTTTTAAATCCCCATTACGAGTACCGGAGACCCAGTGCCTAGCTGTCCTGGATTCACTGGTGTAGGCATAGCACCGAGTCATGGAGCAAAAATGCACTTATCGACTAGATACCGGTCAACAGTCGTCTATGTGCTGCACGACTGAATGGATATGTAAGGAATAAGAAGCATCATGAGACTAGGTGACGCCTGCTCGTAATCTTGGCACACACACAGCCCGGCTCTAGTTCGTATTATTATTATTTGTCTCTTTGGTTCCTAGTGGAATATAGGGCTTCTGATACACGTCGCCATTCCACTCTGTTCCCTGCAGTCTTCAAAACCTGGCTCCACGACTGCCCACAAGCTTCCGTTTCTTCCTAACACCATCTCCTCCATGTCTCCCTTAACTCGGATGCCCAACTCATCTTTTCCTTTTTGGATTGCACTTGACGACGTGACCTGGGGCGTGATGTCTCCGAATGGTTTTCTCAGTGTATGTCTAGTCGAATCCATCTCCACTTTCTTCTTCTGCATATTTGTTGGGTGATGGGTTGTTGGTTGGTTTGTTGCCAGCCAGTTAGCCAGTCAGCGAGAGTTCCTTGTTGCATATTGTTATTATTCTGGTCATTTGATCTTCAGTATCATCGAGTGGGCGAGCGTAGGTGGCAGTTGTTGATGAATGTCTGTAGTTTGTTGGAAATGCTTTTCATGATGCTGCAAGTCTGTGAAGCATGATGTAGAAGGAGTGACTTGATGTTGTTCACTCTTTATGCTGCGTTGAGTTGAGTTGAGTGGAGTAGATCTGTACACTGATTTCAGATTGATGAAATGTCTTGCTGTGTTTCCGATTGTGGCTTTGACACCGTCATGTGTGCCTGTGCCGTATGTAGCTGATAGGATGGTGCCTATGTAGAGAGGTAGGTGTAAGAGACAACTTTGTTTATATTTCTCCCGTTGATGGTGATTGATGCTTGTTGTTGTTGGTTGGTTATCTTCATGAGTTCTGTGTTGAGTAGGTTCACCGTAAGGAGGTGGTGTGTTGGTTGGCTGTCGTGTTGTGTGAATTTGTTGGTTTTCGTGTGTAGATCTTGGAGTTTGTGCGACAAGACATTTGAGACTTATGTGATAATTGTTGGTGAAATGCGAATCTTCTTGTGGTGTGTTTTGGTCGGTGGAGCGAGCGGTGCAGCGTATGCCCCTGATGTTGCTCGTGGTAGTTTGTTGCATGATGCAGTGGAGTCTAGGACAGTTGGGAAGATGATGGGTGATAGTATGCGGTATCCTTGTTTTACTGCTGTCTTCACGTGACGTGACGTGACGTCACTTCAGTTGAGTTGAGTTGAGTTGGAAGGCGTGACTGAGCTTTCCATTGTGAATCAATCAGTTTGGATGTTGCGTTGTCATATGGTTGTTGAAGGTTTGTGGCACTGGAAGCGTAGTGTTGAAGCAGCAGCTGTCAAATTACTTCTGGGTGCAGTGGAGGCTGTTGGACTGTGGCGTTTTTGAAGTCGATGAAGTTGAGGTGAGGATCCATTTGACTGGTATTGTATGCTGTGTTGTATGATGATGCGTAGTGTGTCGTTTCAAATTGGTTGGCACATGATTTGTTCTTCCTGAGTGCAGCGAGTCAGTGTGTTTTGGTGA